TATGGGAAAACTCTTAAAAATATCTATGGGCGAATTTGAATTGTGTTTCGCCCCACAATATGTAAACATTAACCGTTCTCATTTCATTTGGTTTCCTTCTAGTCAATCAACAATTGATCGAAAATTGTAATTAATTGCAATCGGATCGATTGAATTTTGAGGCTCTTGTGGAGCCATTGCGGTTTATACTGAAAAACCGCAACGGCTCTACGACAGCCGTGGCGGAATCCCATGAATTTTGCATGAAGAAACAACCATAACGGACATGCTATGTCCGTTGCAATCGTTTTATCCACGCCTTCCAAAAATGTCGGACGGCGTATAGCCTTTGGGCAAAAATACTGTTCTTTTTTGCCCAATGGTATTGTATAGTGGCTTCCATAATGTATACACACACACACACATATGCCGCATGTGACCATTATATATGGATGTAAAACTTGTCCTTTGAAGCTGTTTACTTTACTTATATTCTAGGTTCTAAGGACTGTTCAAGCTGAAGGTATGCGAGGTCTATCTAAAGCAGACCGCAATAAGTATGCACCACCTAATGGTGCTGGTTTCATAAATGGTTTTACTTCCATCTCTCGAAGGTCACCAATCGACATGATTTCACCAAACCCATCTCTCTCTTTTGGTCCAAGTTCTTATCTATCTGCTCAGGCTCGAGTCATTGATGACTACACGATGTCCCAAGCTATCACTCAGGCAATGCAAGATGGTGGATCAGTGGGTGTTCTAGTTGTGGTAACAGGGGCAAGCCATGTTTTATATGGTTCAAGAGGAGTCGGCTTGCCTGCTAGAATTTCAAAGCAGCTACTGAAAAAGAACCAGTCGGTTATATTGCTTAATCCAGAAAGGCAACACATTCGAAAAGAGGGAGAAGCACCAGTGGCTGATTTCCTTTGGTATTCAGCTGCTAGGCCATGTAGCAGGAATTGTTTTGATCGTGCTGAAATTGCTCGGGTGATGAATGCAGCTGGTAGGAGGCGGGATGCTTTGCCCCAGGTTTGTTCCATAGGATTGTTTTTGGGTTTTCTGGTGTGTTTGATCTATTTCCCTTGCTTATATCAAAGTTTTTTATTTCTCTTTGCTTATATCATAGTTTATTTGAATCATTTTATAACTACATTGCTTATGGTTCAAAATTGATTTCTTCCTTTGGATGGATATTAGAATTGTGGCTACTACATATTACAATTTTCAAAAATTTCTTATCGTGAACAATATAACATCTACACATGACCCTGTATTGTCTGATATATTTATGACAACCAACACCTGCAACACACATCCCTGTTTGGATGCCTGGATACGCCACCACACAAGGCAGGCTTATCTGCTGTTGAGGCAAAAAGCCTTTTCAATGAAATGACCAAATTGTCGATATAGCCCTATTTGCACACAAAACTGAGGGAGATCTGTTGTTTTTGTTGGTAAAAATATGCCATGGAACTGCCAGCACGTATAAGCCTGTTTTATTGGTGTGTATACGCTCATACAGATAGGCCTACATCTTTTGTTCTAAAGAGTACCAAAGGATACTTGGTTCATGGCCTGCTTTGTGCTTTAGATCTTCAATTTGTGTAGATTGAATTCAAATGTAAAATTGGCCTGATTTATGAATCTGCTCCTTGGGGGCTTCTATGAATTGGCTACTGTCACATAGCTTTCTGATTGCTAAACTACATAATGTCTAAACTCATGGTTTGCTGTCTTGCAATACTTAGAAATTCAGCATAGGTGCGAACTTGAGACTGGAGTGGGGAAGTTGCCATGTTTAGATCTAGTTAAATGCAAAATTCACATTCAATTTAATTTATGACAGTAAAATATGATTTGTACTATGGATGGTCAGTGCCTTAAGCTGCTGATTCTATACATCGAGAACTAGCATGTTTTACTGGGTGTATGTGAGCTTGCATTTGAAATAAGTAGGAAAATGTTGGACTTTCAAATGGATAAGTAGGTCAGCTCATAGTTGTTCGAGGCGGGGGCACGTTCGGGAGTGGGATCAGCTCAGGGCACGCCGAACCACCATAGGATGGAAGCTCCTTGGGGCTAGGATAGATCTCCATACATTCAACAAGTTAAGGAGCTAGAACCTAGGAGATCTGAAGCAAGATCCTATGTCAGGTTTTGACTTGAGGGATCTAAGCTCAACTATACATAAAACGAGATAAATTAACGGTATATGATATAATTAGGATCAAGCTGATGCCTGCTCGATCCATCATTATACACCTTAGCTTTTTACCAATGCTAGAGTTATAGTACTCCAATTTACTACAATAATACAGTTCAATAATAACATAAATTGGCTTACTATGATATTAAACAGTAGTTTTTTTAATACCATAATTCTAGAATACCACAATATGATATGCACACAATTTAGCATATATTTTAAAGAAATAAATCCATAATACTAAGAAGAGGAACAGTAGTTCATGAGTATAGCTCCTCTCCTTGGACGGATCCTATGAGCATGTCCGAGATCCCATTTTATTTTGAGCAAGAGCCCTATTTCTCTAAACCCAGCTCCCTCTACGATCCCTTAGAGGAACCGTGGGATCGTGGCCTTAACACCAAGGTTCCCGCAACTATGGGTATGGTAGACCGCATCTCCTCTAAGAATTGTTTTGCAACAATTTATTGCATTGAGAAAGTCGAAATTGATCCTCTGAATTATTACCATTGCAAGCCTCGTCCATCCAAAGCAACAATGTGGAACAGGTATCCATATTTCTATTTAGTGTTCTGACATCTTTTTGGTGAAAAAAATTCCAATCTTATAATAAGTAAGATTTATCATTTTCATTATCCATGAATATTTTATTATAGCTTGGGGTCCCCATCGAAACTTGTGCTACTTCACCCAAAAGACATATTGTCATGTGGATTCGGGTTTTTTGCTGAAAGGGTTTCAAGAGGAAATGTGTTTGCACGATCTTCTGAATAGGAAATGTAAATCAATTGACTTACCCAGCAATGAGAAGTTGAACTGGAATAGATAAACTCCAAAGCATTATGAAGTTGGAACTTAAAACAAAACCTAATTGACTATCGATTGATTTTTGAGTAGCCGTGAAACATTAAATGTAAAGGAGAACATGTTCGCATCATGTTACATAACATTATATGAAAGTGAAACTCTTTTGGGATGTAAACCCATACATGTGGAACATCTATTAGTGGAGAGAGACAAGATCTTTGATATCAGCTCTGCTTTATCACACCTTTAGCCAAGATGCTCTAGCCCTGTTGGCCTACAAGAGGATTGGTGAAAGTATATTGCCAAACACCACCCTGACCCCAAATAGTTGGGATAGGGCTTGGATGATGATGACGACAATGATGATGATGATGATGATGATATTACCAAAAACCTGTTATATTAGTATGAGATCATATTTGTGGTGAAATAAATCACCTGATGCATTGAACATAATATATGTCAAGTTCCGGAGATAAAGTTACTAAAGATAAATTTGATTATATTTTGAGTGTTAATGTGATTAATGTTTCTCTTTAACGTTTAAAGGGATTAATGTTTCTCTCTTTAACGTATTTTACCAGGATATTCAAAAGGGACTGGATCTTGGTGTGGTTTCACCAGAAGTATTGCAAAGTTTTTTTGATCTAGAGCAGTATCCTCTTATTTCAGAACTCACTCACCGATTTCAGGTAAATAATGCACTGGTTCGTCCCCTCTTACCAAGAGCCATTTCCCTGTATCTCGACAACTACATCCATGTTTTTGCACTACATGTGTCTTTGTTGCTAAAGTAAAAGGGGATATTTCCATGCAATTGGTTATTCCTCTTTTATCAATATCCATTTTGCTTGATCTATAGAAGTAATTCAGCATTTGGCTCTAAAGATATTGGTCAGAGAAAGGGAATATTGGCAATTAAATGGTTAATACCTACCCATTTCCCATTATCTGAAAAGTACCTCAGCATCTTGCACCATGCATAGGTACTAAAGAAATAGGGATATTCATATTTAATTCTCTGTATGATAATGCAGGGTTTTCGGGAAAGATTATTAGCAGACCCCAAATTTCTTCACAGGCTAGCCATAGAGGAAGCCATATCAATAACAACCACTCTCTTAGCACAATATGAAAGGCGCAAAGAGAACTTTTTCGAAGAGCTTGACTATGTCATTACTGACACACTTAGGGGCTCTGTTGTTGATTTCTTCACCGTTTGGCTTCCTGCCCCAACACTCTCTTTCCTTAGTGTTGATGAGAACGTCACAACACCTGAAAATCTAGAAATCTTGAAAGGTTTTTTTGGGTCTATCCCTGATAATGCTTTTCAAAAGAGTAGCATTGCTAAAGACTGGAACTTGAGTCAGAGGTTTGCATCGGTGCTCATTGGGGGTCTGAAGCTCACCATTGTTGGGTTTATATCAAGCATAGGAGCTGTTACTTCGTCGAATATGTTGTTTAATGCTCGTCGTGTTTTTAATCCAGCTCTAGAAGTGACTGTCAAGCAAAAACGATCCCCAATCTTCAAGACGGCGCTTGTATATGGATCTTTCCTTGGAGTATCGGCAAATCTCCGTTATCAGGTTTAGAAAATGTCACTTTTAAGTTTAGTAGCTATTGGGAGAGTAGACTGTCTTCCAATGAACTATGACATATGGTATTGGCGTACCTTATGCCATTGTCAATAGGCTAGTGATATTATTTCCCTGGGAATAAATAGTTAATATACGTCTGAAATTCATTTTATGTGCAGATTGTGTAATAGCTGCTTATTAACTGCCCATTATGCTTGTTGGATGCTTGGTAAACCTGGTCACTGTAACCCAGGTTGTTTCATCTGTGGATTTCCATATGTTATCCCTTTACCTGTCCAGTTTAACTGTCCGCAAGCATGATGGATAGTTTAAGGTGCAGGTGCACACTACTACTTCGCAGTTTGCAGAAAGAATATGGTCTCTGTTAATAATTTGTTATTACCTTTTTCCCAGCTTAATTGTGCCAAAATTTATCTACTTTATTTCATATTTCATTTTGTGTTCTGAGCCTATAAGAACAGAAATAATTTTTATTTGTTTCTTTTGATTACATATTTCTTTTTTTTTTGTTAAAAGGTTTTGTAAAAAAAGATCTCTTGGATATAGGTTATTGCTGGCATTGTGGAACATCGGATTTCGGATGAGTTTCTGTCTTCCAAGCCCGTTCTGGTTAATATGTTATCATTCGCTGTGCGCACAGTGAACTCATATTGGGGAACTCAGGTTAGATCTCTGTCAATTTTTTTCTCATTAGTGTCGTGGCAATCTTTTCTTTTTGGATGTATCTTGCTTGTGAAAGGCAGAATTCGCTGAAATGTAGGTCTTCTTTTCTCATGCTGCTTATGCATAAAGGATCTCTCTCTCTCTCTCTCTCTCTCTCTCTCTCTCTCACATTATTCTAGGCTACAACATTCAAATGGTGAATCTAGAATTTCTTACTCCAAAACTTTTGACCATAAAATACCTCGTTCGTCTAGGCTGCAACATTCAAATGGTGAATCTAGAATTTCTTACTCCAAAACTTTTGACCATAAAATACACTTACAAAACTAGAAATTACATGAGGAATAGCTTGTATGAAAATTTTGCAACATGGTTCTGTGACTTGGCCGAGTCTACTCGGACTCGGCTGTGTTACTCCAACTTTCCCTATGAGCGAGTCCCCGTTGTGTGTGCAACTCCAGGCAGATAAAAAATTTGAAAAAATTAAAAAAAATTGTAAAAGATATGTGAATAGTATATAAATTTTTTATATGATTTGGATGTTGATGGAAATGATTGGTGAGCGTTTTTTGCCATAATCCATATTTTTATATTTTACTTTTTGGAATTTTAAAATCCCCCCATCTATAAATCAACTTTTTTGAGATCCAATTCTTTTTTATTTATTTTTTAGCTTATTTGGACTTTTAAAGTTGCTTTTAGTTTTATTTTACTTTTGCTACATTCATTATATTTTTTTATATATATTTTTTAATTTTTCCGGGGCTGTTTTTGCCCTGTAGAGGACTCAGGCAAGTCCACTTGGACGTGTCCAAGTCACTCGGCTTGGCCAAGTGCCGAGCAGCTTGGCTGAGTCAAGTTTTTTGAAAACTGTTTTATAATTTTAAGTTGCTTCAAAAAAATCAAAATTTTAGAAGTCAAAAGAATCTTTTTAAAATTTGAAGTTGATTTTTGGAGGGATTTTGAAATGATTGAAATACCTTTCCTAAAATACGAGATCGATGTATAATCAAACATCATTTTTGAAAATATGAGTATTTTGTGGCAAAAAATTCTGGAGAAGGAACTTCTAAGTTCATCATTAGTGTGGTGTAACCTAGAATAACAAACCCCCCACCCAACAACCAACAGAAACAAACAAACAAACAAAAAAATAAAAAAAAAAGGTGGAAAACAAAACATGTGTGTGTATATGTAAAAGGTTTTCAAAACTTTAAAATGGTAGTCTGGTCATTTTGAAGTGTGGTTGATAATTTCAGCAGAATGCATGAACATGTTCTTTGAGGATCTACTATTATTCTTATGTATTTTTCGATGACATATGCCCAACTTAAATATAGAATATCTTTCGTAGTGGTCATTTTGAAGTGCGGTTGATAATTTCACTTCAATGCATGAACATGTTCTTGGAGGATGCTACCATTATTATTTTCTAATGTTATGTTATCTTTTTCTAGATTCATGATGACATATGCGCAACTTAAATAGAGAGTATCTTTCGTAGTGTTTATGAGCGAGCATACATAAAGGGGATGTTCATGGACATTCTGGAAAGAGAAGTGCTATTTTTTATTTTTATTTTCCTTGAAAGCCTAAAATCTTCATTACCATGGCATTTATTTCTCATTTTTGGAATTCATCTTAATATAATCACTAAATAAGAACGATGACCCTGTTTTCTTTCACACTTTGACAACTTTCGTTATGTCGAGCTATCTTTGTTATGTTAAAGGGAAACTATGCCACACGCCTGTGGTGTGTGGTATATGGTACGTTGTAATCCACTCTCCATTCCTGACAGCTGACTGTGGAGATAATGGTACCTAGGTGATCACCGGTCATCAGGAATTTATGGTTAAGGTCATCAGTCTATCACCTGGAAGGAATGTAGGTGTCCTGATATACCATATACCATATGACACATGTATACTTAGTATTTCTAATGCTATATCTGTGGGGATAGATTGTCTAATTGCATGATGGAGGAAAGCAACCACCTTCAATTCTATGATTGTGTTATCCGCACATGTTTCCTCATTGTCAAGCTATTCTCACTCTAATTTTATTTTTCATTCTTTTTGGCAGCAATGGATAGATCTTGCAAGAGCAACAGGAATACAAACGCGTAATAAAATTAACGACCTCCCTTATGAAGCTCAGGACATTCCAGTTCCCTCTACATTGGAAAGCAGTGCTGCCCAAGCCAGCAATGTTGAAGAAGCTAACAACAATGCAGGTGACAATTCTGTGAAATAATATGCGCAAATTTTGTACCAATGCCACTTGAAAGCAAAGGGAGAAAATTTAAGAAATGTATCTATAACCCATTGCTAAGGGCTGTGAAAAGGTCGGGTCTTTCCTTTTTCTTTTGAGGGGTTTGGAGGGGAGAAAGAAAAATCTGTAGCGTAAGAGCAGTTAAAAAGTTCTCATCAGAAGAAAAGTCGGTCGAGGGTTAAGATATGCTTATGATGGGATAGCTTAACTTATTTCAGTCACGAGATAACATGCCTGGCATTAGCTCTGGTCATTTGTTGAGGCATTGAAGGTATCTCTAATTGGTTCATTTTAAAGAGGGACATACAACTAAGATCGGGGTAAAGCAAAACCTACAGAAAGAGATCAGAAAGTGCATCGGAGGTATGTTGTCCTCTCTGTCTCTCTCTCAACATCACTGCTTGAAAGAGTTTCAAACGGTGCAGGTGCATCAATTTATTAATTGATATAAATATGAATATTTTATCATGACCACAACAAATTCTTTTTGATTAGGTAAATCAATTGCCGATAGTGTGAATGTTGTTTCCTTTAAGTTTCATAATTATGTTTTTTGTTTTTGTTTGTTCAGTTGCCATCAGAATATGGATTTGTTTGTTCAATAGCCGTCAGAATGGGCCTTGGTTGGGTTTAGGCCAGTTCTGTATGACTTGAGAAGTTTTATTATTCTTATGTGAAACTGAGATGGTCTTGGGCATGGGTCTAGCCTTGATAAATCTTGATGGAGTTAAACCTTTAACTTCTGATTAATTAACTTTTGATGATTTCACCTGTCCAAACTAAAAGTTTATTCTAAGGCTTGTTGTCCTTAGAAAGAAAGATTGTGTAAAGTTTTCTTTTAGTTCCTTTTCATCAAACACCAATTCTTGCATCATCTGAATAAAACAAAGAGTAACTTGACATTCACTGTTATTGTTGTGAATTAAATAACTGAAAAATGCGTAATCTATACTTCGTCAACTTCACTAACGGTCTAATTACTCTCATGCTTCTTATCCCTGAGAAACTTTGTTGTCACTGCGTCAAGTGCATGGTCCTTATCCTTGAGCAACTTTGTTTTTACTGCTTCAATTGCATGCTCCAATCTCAGCCACTGCACCAGAGTTATTGTTTCAATATGCAGCTTCACATGAGAGAGAGAGAGAGAGAGAGAGAGAGAGAGAGAGTACGTACTGTAGTAGTACGAACTAACTTATTAGTGTACGACGACGACGAAGTAAGTAGAGTACGTACGTAACGTCGTTCCTACTTAGTTAGTTATTACTTCTTCT